ACAGCAATGTGATTGAATGTTTTGATGCCTTGTGAACGTGTGTTAATATTAACGTATCAGTTATTATTTTCCTTATGTGTGTAAACAAAATGAACTATCTTTTAATTCCTAGAATAAATAATTCTATTTCCTACATTTCATTTAGGATGTTTACATCTACATTCATAAATAAAGCTATAGTTTTCTTTTTGCAGTATCTCTCTGATTTTTAGTACTGTTTTAACATTGTAGAATTAGTTGAGAAGCTTCCCATCTTTTTCTGTGTTATGAAACACTTTAATACAAAAATCAGCTGTTCCTTGAAAGTTTTCAAGGATGCTCCAAAGCCACTTGGACCTGGTAAATGGTTTCAGCAATGAGCCTTGCCCTTCCAGTGTCTTCTATGTCATTTATCTACAGAAATGCTGTCCCCTCCACATATCACGTCTCTTTTTCCCAACCCCTCAAGTCTGTGTATGGCAGTGGCCGGTGTTCCCTTGGACTTGCCCTTGAGAAGCGTCAGCCCAGGCTACGTGCAAGTGCAGAGGAAAGGTGTCAGCGCCTGAATAGCTTGCTGGTTTGTCACCACATTTCTGCTTGGGCTCAGGAGAGGTTAGATTATACAAGGGAGGTAAGTGGAAGGACAGGGGTCTGGAGGAGCTGAAAGGGCAAGAGGAGCAACCTCTTTAGAATGAAAATGGTCATAAAGGATGGCCCCAAGCCAGCTGGAGTGAGAGGGGGACGGCTCTCCCTGCCCCCACCTCCACTCCCTCAAAGATAGAGCTGCGCTGGGGGTTTTAATGGCATCACTGGTTCAAATACGGGACTATGCACTTCAGAAAAGTGAATGGGATTTTAGGTACCTGGAGGGTTTGGGCCTCCCACTTCCTGTTGGGTTTTCAGGTGCCATTTGCCTGGGCAGTGCTGTCTTCAGTCCTAAGTGATGAGGACCCTGGATTCCAGAGCCCCTGGCCTCCCCGGTGCCGCTTCCCCATCTGTGGGTTATACCCTTTCCCTGGATATAAATGTATGCCCTGGCCAGGGGTGTGCAGAAAGGCACAGAGTCACCCATCTGGGGCCTGCCCCTCTCTCTTCTGGACAGTGCTCAGGTGCTGGGAATGTGGGGAGTCCTTGCGGAGAGGCCTCGGGCTGGCAGCCTGTTCAGATCCTGCAGTGTGCACACCTGGATGCCCAAGCTGCAGCCGATGGGTGGCCTATTGTGGGGCAGGATTAAGCGACAGGTGAGAACTGAGGGGTGGGCAGCGCTGGCTTACTTCAGATCTACACAGGGGCCAGGAGCAGAGGACCAGGAGTGCCCTTTGCTTGGGCTCAGAAGGGATTGACTGTTAGGAGCAGGATAAAGAAGAGGTTTTGTTTTAGAACCCAGTTTCCAGGTTTCCTGGCCCCGAGACCAGGTAGGAAGAAAGATGGAAGGCAGAAGCCACAGAAGGCAGTAAGGGTAGGGCTGGCCCCCACAGGGTGCGTGTCCTCGGTGCTCAGAGGTGACGAGCACAGAAGCATGAGGGCGCTTCAGTGCTTGGTTTTTTTTTTTTTTTTTTTTTTTTTTTTTTTTTTTTTGAGACAGAGTCTCACTCTGTCACCCAGGCTGGAGTGCAGTGGTGGACTCTTGGTTCACTGCAACCTCCACTTCCCGTGTTCAAGCGATTCTCCTGCCCCGGCCTCCCGAGTAGCTGGGACCACGGGCACGTGCCACCAAGCCAGGCTAATTTATTTTTTTGTTTGTATTTTTAGTAGGGATGGGGTTTCACTGTGTTAGCCAGGATGGTCTCCATCTCCTGACCTGATGATCCGCCCACTTCGGCCTCCCAAAGTGCTGGGATCACAGGCGTGGGCCACCCAGCTGGCCAGGGCATGCGTTTATAAATAGCAGATGTCTGTCCATGGCTCCCTATCATGCTTTGTTTATTGTTTTTGAGACCAGGGCAAATACCAGATGTGATCTTGCTGCTTCTCGACCTGAGTGTTTAAAAGTCCTTTCTGGAGTGTTGGGACCTGAGCCCCTCGAGGGTGTGCCCACGGCCCACAGGAAAAGCAGCTCCCTCCTGCGCATTGGACTCTCCATTCTAGGGAAATTGCTCCTTTCCCAGACAGGTATAATTACTTTTATAGGATTATTGGCCCGAAGGGGAAACCTCTTCCAGCTGAGACCCCATCTGCACCCAGCTTCAGCTGGGATCCTGAGGGTCAGTGACATGACAGTGGTGGCAGTGTCTGCCCTGAGGCGAAGGCTGTTCAGCAGTCATGGCCGGCCGTGGCCTCCACTTGGGGGATCATTTCAGGCTCAGATAGCCCACACCCCAGAATGCTCCCCATGCTTGCCTCATCTGTGGAACCTGGCCTTTCTCTATATGGATTAAGCCTCCTAATTTAAGGCTTTGATTATCATAAACCTTCGTGTGCCTGAGGGGTTCCCAGGTAGCCAGGGTGTGGAGGCTTAGGAGCTGAGAGAGCAGAGGGGTGGAGGGGAGGCCTGGAGGCTGGCTCGTTCCCATATGGGAAGCTTGGCCCTGAGCAGAATGCTGCGAAGCTCCAGATGTTCTCATTCCTCATGGACCTGGTTATTCTGAAGTCCTGCTTCCACATAGAAATGTTTACTGTCAGCCCCACGTTTGCGCATAGGTGAGGGATGGCATTCGCAAAGCTGCCATCTTCCTGAAAATGATTAGCATCAACACTGCCAGCCTGCTTCCTGCCCTCACTTCTCCTGTGTGAAAGAAACAAGGCCGGACACTGTGCAGCCACCGCCTGGTGGAGGGAAAGGCACTGGAGCGACAGGCTTTAAGACAGTCAGAGCCACCAGGAGCCCCAGGGCCATCCCGTCAGGCCAGGGGAGCTGCATCCGGTGCTGGTCCACTCTGATGCCTGCGGGGGGCACCCTGCCTGCTCTCCCCGCCCTGGGCATTCCCACCGGCCTCCTGGCTGCTCGGCCCTTCATGCTGGGTTTTGGGAAGCTGTTCTTTCCTCTTTGGTGGCATCATCTGCTTCATCAGAAGTTTTGCTTTTTCTCAGGTGTTGAGTTCAAACCCCCCAACTCTACTTTTACAGCTAGAACTGAGAAAACTTTCTGTGCTCATTTATCTGTTTAAGCATTTAGACACAGAACCTGGGTTTTAATAATGTGACATGTAACGATGTTCACATGGCCCCTAAGATTATAATGCCATGTTTTCACTGTGCCTTTAAATGTTGAGCTGTGTTTGTAAACACAGGTCCTTACCACTGTACTGCAGTTGCCCGCAGTATTCAGTACAGTCCCAGGCTGCACAGATCATCAGCCAGGAACAGCAGACTCCGCCGTATCACTTGGGCGTGTGCTGGGCTGTGCCAGCTAGGTGTGTGAAGTGCGCTGTGACACTCGCACAGTGATGACGTCTCCTAACGATGCGTTTCTCAGAATGTGCTCCTGTGGTGAAGGAAGCCTGACTGCAGTCTCAGCTGGGTCTCCCGGGAACCCTTCCCTGCCGCCCCCGTGGCTGTCCCTGAAGCGGGGGTAGTGGCTTCATGACATTCAACACAGCAGTGAGCGCTCCTGCCATGAAAGTTCTGGGTGGTGGGTGGGACCACCCACATGTAAGGGAGGTTGGCCGTGAGTGGGGCAGCTGAGTGGGAGGCCCCTTGCCCACACTGGGGCCCACCTAATTCCTCTGATTTTTAGCAGCACCAGGGCAAACTTCTATTTATTTTGGTGCTCTGAAAAAACAAAACCTGGGCTTGTCATAGAAAAGTCTCTTTTTTCAGGGAATTCCCTCTTGGCTCTGTGAAAAAAAAAAGCTATGAAGGGATCTTCGGAATGAGGGGTCTGGGGGCACTGGAAGGCCCTGGTGTGTGAGGAGCTTGAACGGGAATGCGTCTGAGAGCCCGAGGGGCTGGCCCAGCCACAGGAGGAAGCCTCCCCGCTGGCTTGCGTTTTTTTCCATTGAAAAGTTGTCTGGCTCCCAGGGAATGACGCTGATGGTGGGGAGGCTGGTAGGGGCAGGGGGCTCTCTGTACTTTCTGCTCAGTTTTGCTGTGAACCTAAAACTGCTCTAAAAATAGTTTATTAATTTTTAAAAAAGTTATCAGGAAAGAACATCTACAATTGGTTAGATATGATTAATAACTAGTACCAACACGGCGTTGTTAACAAAGAATACGTTATTATTATTATAAGGTATTCATGAGTAAAGAACAACGAATAACATACATCTAATTTTTAATACTCAATGCACAATCAACATTTCTGATCAACTGTATAAACCATATAAAAGAGAATTCTGCTTTTCATTTGTACAAATACTGCTTTCACCGTTGCAAAACTTTCAAGGTTAAAACGTACCATAGGTTGAAACTCTAAAGCTTATGCTTGAACATTTCTAAAACGAAGTTATTGCTGTCTGTTGTTAATTGGTTACATTGTTACCTCTAATACCAGTCATCAAATCCATAGGATCTCTTAATTTCCAAGAGATTGTATTGTACAGCAAGATTATTTTTGTGGCCAAATCGGGTCATAGGCTTCCTTTTTTTTTTTTTTTTTTTTTAAATTTAAATGGAGTCTTGCCGTCACCCGGGCTGGAGTGCAATGGTGCTATCTCAGCTCACTGCAACCTCCGCATCCCGGGTTCAAGCGATTCTCCTGCCTCAGCCTCCCGAGTAGCTGGGATTACAGGCGCGTGCTACCACGCCCAGCTGATTTTTGTATTTTTTGTAGAGACGGGGTTTCACCGTGTTGGTCAGGCTGGTCTCAAACTCCTGACCTTGTGATCTCCCCTCCTTGGCCTCCCAAAGTGCTGGGATTACAGGCGTGAGCCACCGTGCCCAGCCTAGCCTTACTTTTTTAAAAGATAAGTAAATCCATCCAGAAATGTAGTCATGAATTGAAGTGTTCCCCGTAGTTTTATCTGCTAGGTGATAGCATGGAGCTTCCTGGTGCTTCTGCTGGGAATTCAGACGGGACAGACATGTGGCCTCAGAGGACACGCTGCGGTAGTGCAGACTGGGAAGGAAAACACACAGTCTGCTACAATTTTTATCCCAGGTATAATTTGTGAAGAATGTATAGCAAATGTTTCTTAAAGCATGAATCCTCTACTTGAATTCTTGTTTTTATGAAAGCCATCCAACCACTTACTGAATCCTCTTGAAATCTGCCTTTTGTAATGTAACTGATAGGTCAATGTTTTCTTTCACTCTGGGAAATAAAGGCTACTTGGTTGCTTTAGGGAGGGCAGCAATGTCAGCTGCATAAGCAGCAAGAATATTATATTACCAGTTTGCCCTTAATAGAGCAAGCCTAGGAAATGGAAAATAGGCATCTGTTTTATATACCCTTTCCTTTTCAATCATTGTTTCGACACTCTCCATTCTAGGGCTTGGAGAAGCTTCATGGAAACTCTGTTCAGGTTCTTGACTCTCAGTGACAGATGTGGAGGTCTTTGTGTCTTGGTTCTCAAGTCCTGAGAATCACATACACTGGCAGAATTTGCCTCCAAGTCCAAGTTCTTCTGGCTAATTCCTAGGCTGGGAGTTCTCAACTTCGGCTGCACATTGGAATGACCTCAGGAGCTTTAAAAACTACAAACGCTTGAATTTTAGCCCAGAGATGTGTGTTGAATTGGTCTGAGGTGCAGCTGGGCTTCAAGCTTTTTAAAAGCTCCCCAGGTGATGTCACTGCCGCCAGGGCTGAATACCTTCCCTAGGGCGGCTGCACCCAGGCTCGGTAAGACTGTTGGTGAATTTCATCAGTAACCAAAGGGTGCTGAACATTATTCGACCTCTCCAGTTACGTCTAGTTTATATTGATAAAGGCATATCAATTGCAAATATAAAAATAATTTGCACTGAAGTCACATTTATATGTAAACAAACAAAATGCTGTTATTGCTTTTCTTACATGTACAGGGTTACACTGGCAGATGATGACAGTATGGCTGGCAGCTGGATTTTTCTAGTAGTGACAAAAGACAGAGAGTCTTTCCATTAACATTGCCTCAACAGCCTCAACAGAAGCTGCCCCAGACCAAGCTAAATGTGCTTTCCAGCATCTTCTTAAACCTCCTAAATATAAAAATGATTATTCTCTTCTTCACCATGGCAATGACCTAGCTTAGCCCTGTAATGGGTTTGTGCCTTTCTGTAAGAGACAGAAAGGGCTTCCTTTTGCCTCAACTTAACCCTTTTCAACAAAGATTTCAGTTTCCAATTTTGATTGTATTGCAGTCTCTCTAAAGTAAACTGTGCTTCCTTTAGTAGAAAAACGAGTTTCAAAAAAATATAGTGTAGAAAGTTCAGTGCTACATAAAGAGAACAGTATCCGCAAAAAATTACAAAAATAGATTTACATTTAAAAATCCTGTCTGTGTCTTGAATAGTACAAAGCTGTACCCATGGTATGGCAGGTGTGGCTGGTGAGAGGCAAGGATTTCTGTTTTGTAAAGTTTTACAGCCGCCAGGCAAGGAAATGCGAACAGATAATTATGTTGCGATAAAAGTGTGCGCTTAGCACAAGAAAGAAATGCAGAGCAGATGTTGAGGGCAGTTTCAACACCTGCTGCCTACATGGAATAGTAGCTTGTTCACAAAGGAGGGAAGAGACTGGTTTCTGTAACTTACTTAGAGAATGCAGAGGGTCCCAGGGCTTTTTCAAGGCTCAGTTGGGGGGTATTTGCCCGTTTCCAGCTGAACTGCTGGTGATGATGAATTGGAGGGGTTTGGAATGGCCACTAGCAGCCAAGCCTCAGGCTTATCAGTAACTGCAAATGTTTCTCTCCACTGCATATGAGAACCTCTACCCTACCCGGCCTTTTATTCTACCGACCGGAGGCCCTGGTACAGACCCACCGTCTTGCACTGAAGACTTCAGAGACAAGGGCTTCAACCCTGGTTACCCATTAGAATCATGAGAGCGCCCCTGAGATCTGGGTTGAATTGGTCTGCAGAGACTCCAGGCTCCCTCTTCTGAAGCTCCGCCGGTGATTCTCTTGTGCCTGAGGGGAGGTGCCGAGTCGCCATCACCCACCGGCCTCAAGCTACGCAGGTGCAATCAGAGGCCTGGTGAGAGTGGTACTGGGTGGGAGGACCCCCAGTGAGCCGCAAGCAGACCCCCACCAGGCCCTTCCCTTAGACCAGTGGCTCTGGAAACTTTGAAGAAGGTTGCAATAATCAGGGGGTGCTCTGACAAGGCCCTAGGGCTGGGCTGCACCTGAGAAAATCAAGGCACAGTCTTTCTGGTTGGGACCAGGAGATTCCCAAGGGCAGCTGCCCTGGAGAACCAGTGCCTTTTGTGCTAAGCAATCCACAGTCCCCTTCTGTCTGCAGTTGTGAGGCGGGAGTGGTAAATCACAAAATCAAGAACTTTCAGCAAATACCTAAGCTTGGTTGTCGTCAGCTGGAGTATAATAAGGATGCATCCACAGCGCTCCTCCTTACAACCTAGACTCACAGCGAATAGAGTTTAGAAGACTCATCCCTTCTTTGACCCCTCATGCGGTGACGGGCAGGGTGTAATTACAGTAGCTCCTTGGAGATGATGCAAGAAGACACACAAAGTGAATGGGAGCTCCCGGCTCCTTACTTTCCCGTGACCTCTGTTTCCAAAGGTTGCATCTGAAGCTGAGGTCGTGGCAAAGGTCTTCCAGGAACTGACTGAGGAAGAAACAGCTGACAAGTTCTCTGTAGTGTATGGAGGCCAGGCTAGCAATCAGGAAGCCCTTCAGGGATGGAGTCCAAGCTTTGAGAACTGACCAAGCAGGGCTGTTAGGTGACAATCATGGGACTTTGGGCAGCTCCTTTCCTGATCTGCCCACCGTGGTGGCCAGATCCTTGGAGAGGCTAGTGGCTTTGTGGCTTCCGCCAAGCAGACCGCTGTGCCTCCCTGGACAGATGAAGTGAGAACTATTTTGGGAAGCACAATCTTAAAATTAATAGAATTTAGCAACTACACTTTACGCTGGAAAATTAAAATATGAAGGAGAAGAAAGCTAGAATAGCTTTTGTTCTTTTATTGTTAGTGTTTCAAACTACAAAAATACTAGGATTTAATAAAACAACGTGACTCACAACTGACCTGCCTCACTGATCTTCCGCTTCTTGTCACACAAGTGACAGCAGAATGTGGGTCCTTCTGTTTCTCAGTTCTGACTGAAATATTTCTGTATGTCCTGAGGTGAATGAATAATGAAAGTGGTTTACTGACAATGATCTAAAATCTCAGATTCTTAGAAATGTTGCTTAGTCTTCTCACTAAGCATGTGCAGAAATCATAGCTCAAAACCCCCCGGCGGGATACAACATTTAAGGAACTTGTGGGATGCTCCAAGCTCATCCCCTAGCTTAGAGGGAGCAGGTTGTTAGGACAGCTGACCGCAGCCTTTCAGGGACTCCAGCAGTGGAGGCCTCTGACAGCCGTTTCCTTGGTCAGGGTCCCCCTGCTGTAACTGAGCTTCCCCCTCTCCTGTGGCTGCAACCTGGTCATCCTCCTGTGAGGCCTTCCTGATGAACCTTCCAGGTCTCTCCTCAGGTAGAACTCAATGTCCCTGCTCTGTGCTCTCAGTGTCTCGCTGGCGGGTCCTGTCTGGCATTTGTCATGTTGTTTTAAGGTTAGCATCTATGAGTCCGTTTCCTTTGCTAAATTGTGAATTTCTCAGAATCAGGGACTATGTTTTATTTATGTTTGTATCTTTTGTACCCATACCAGGCTGGTATAGGCACTTAGGGGTATTTGAGAGCATAATGGAGTGGAAATGAATATAATTTTATTTTCATCGAGACAAAAATCAAATATTCTCTTAACAAAAGTGTAGGAGCCCTGACTGATCTGGGAGTCAAAAAATGGTTTAAAAGCAAAAGGAACATTTTGTATGCATGTGTGACTGAACATAATTGTAGGCTGAAAGTATTTTCTGAACCATTTCTTCCTTGATAAATTGGATGGGGTGGATATTGACTAGAAGACTTTAAAACGCTCCTTGCAAAGGACTTCCGTTAACCAGTCAGGTTACAAGGCACACACAGATGAGGAAAGGTGGGATCCTAACTAGCCGAATCTCCCAATTGTAGAGAAATTATTTTAGAAAGGAACTTTTTTCTTGTAAAACATCTACAAGTGTTGTGAAAGCATTATCAGTTTCAAACCCTGCTCTCCTATTTACCGCCTGGATTCCACACTACTCATAACGCTACTCATTTGCACCTGTAAAACACCCCGTTGCGGCCAGAGCTGTAAGTGCTTGAATAGCTGCCTCAGGGCGGAGATACTTTTTGTTTGACAAAGGGCGAGGATGGGGTCTGGGGAGCAGAAGAAACATCTTTGAGTAAAAAGCTTTTAAAGTGAAGTAAAAGGAGAAAATGATCTTCCATGAGTAACCTAAACTAATTTTGGGGGTTGGGAGTGATGGCTAAAGGAGATTTCAGAGCAGCTTCATTTTTGTAGTCTCCTGATCTATGCCCCAGAGGACCTGATGCATTTCATCTGAGCCTCAAATTAGGAGACGTATTTTTGCGAGAACAAAAGCGGCACCATCCTTAGGTATTCTGCATTCTCAGATGTGGGCTACTGGTCTGAACCCTGATGAATCCGGGGTGGGCTGGAATCCGAGTTATTATGGGACGTGTCATCCTCTCTTGCTGACTTCGTGACGGCAAGACAGGGGCAGCATACTGAGTTTCAAAATGATGGAATGGAAGACAGAGAAGTCTGTAACGCTCACGGCTGGAAGACATCGGTCAACCAGTGGGCAGTGAGTACCATGGAGACATATTTATAAAAGTCTAATGAAGAATTTATCCCCTCTGTTTCTTCTTTGCCCAGGAAGGGACAGAGTGGCTTATCCTATTGTACCTGCCATGACTCGATACAGTACCGATGCGGCCTGCTGGGGCCATGAAGGGATTCTTGGACCTTTAGTGTCGTGGGGTGGAAGCCGTGAGTGGGACCGCTGGAATCAAGCCGCTGCTGGAGACTTGAGGCCGGTGCGGCTTGCTCACTTGGGCCTGGATGAACTCAGGGCAGCAAGTCAACCAGCAAGCTTCTTCCCTGTTGGAAGAGCTTACTGCAGTAAAAATCAATAGTGACAATTAAAAACTCCAAGATCCCCAATCAAGAAAAATCCTGACACATACTTATTTTTTTTTTTTCAAATATACCTCCTTGAAAGATAAACTTCGCTCAGAACTTCTTGCTGGATGCCTTTCTGTAAAAGCTTCACAGTTTGAAAACAAAGGAATGCACCTGCCACTTGCCAAGTGCGCCCCAAGTGGAAGCACTTCCTGACTGATCAGTGTCAACGCTGGGGAAGCCAGTCTGTGGTTCTGACAGCTAACGCGGGCATAGCGGTTGGGATGGAGGACCTGCTGCGCTTGGTCCTGGGTGCTGAAAGTCTGGATTTTTAGGGCTGGTGCTATTCTCTGTGGTCACGCTCCAATAAATTCACTGCTTTGTGGCGCGACCCTTAGGTATTCTGCATTTTCAGCTGTGGGGCCCTTAAACATGCCGTTGGGCTTGGCTTCCTTGGGAAGGAAGTCCTGCCGGTAGTCAGGGTTGTCTAGGCTGATTTGGTGGATGGCTTTCTGGATCCATTGGTCAGGGCTGTCCACTGCGCTGCTGACCCAGGTGGGCTGCACAGTGTTGAGATACTCGGGGTTGCCCACTGCGGTGCTGTGGGGGTCCTGGTAGTGTGGGTCTCTGCTGGGCGCGAGGTTCAGGGGCTGATTGTGATAGACAGGATTCTGCACAGAGCCCGCAGGCCTTTTGGGAACAGACTGGTTTATGTATTCTGAAAGTGAAAAGAAATCAGAGGTGAAGTAATCAGCAAAGCACCATCCCATACAGGAGCCCCGGGTTCCCAACCCTGTGAATGTCTTCAACAAGGCCACTGACTACAGGGAGCAGGAGCCTTGGGAGGACCCTCTTGCTGCTGCTAGAAAGGAGAGTGGGTTCTTTCCTGTACTTCTCAAGGTAATGGACACGTCTCTTTTACAAATTTAAGGTTATCAGAGAATAGCCTGCTTGAGGAGTGTGTGTATGTGTGTAGGTATATGTCTGTACAAGTATGTGTGGTGTGTATGCGTGTGGTGTGTGTGTATGGTATGTGTGTCTGGTGTGTGGTATGTGTATGTGCAGTGTGTGTGTACGTGTGTGGTGTATGTGTGTGTATGTGTGTGTGCTGTGTGTATATGTGTAGTGTATGTGTCTGTGTGTATGTGTGTGTGGTGTGGTTGTATATGTGCACATATGTATGTGTATGTCATGTGTGTACATGTGAGCATGTGGTGTATGTGTGTGTGTGTATGTGTATGTATGTGTGGTATATGGTGTGTGTGTGTGTATATGTGGTATGGATATGTGTATGTGTGTGGTGTGTGTATGTGGTATGTGTGTGGTGTGTGTATGTGTGTAGTATATGTGTGGGTATGTGTGTGGGATGTGTATTGTGTGTTGTGTATGTGGGGTGTGTGTACATGTATGTGTGGTGTGTGTGTATGTGTGGTGTGGGTGTGTATGTGTGCGTATATATGTGTATGTGGTGTGTGTGTGGTGCAATGTGTGTATGTGTGTATGTGTGGTGTGTGTACATCTATGTGTGGTGTGTGTGTATGTGGGTGTAGGGTATGTGTGTGTATATGTGAATGTGTCTGTGAGGTCTGTGTGGGGGGTGTGTGTGTGTGTATGTGTATATGTGTATGTATGTGTATATATGTGTATATGTGTGTGTATGTGTGTTAGCAGGTTGTATCTAGATAAAGCTTACTATTTATTAATATTAACATATATTTAATTAGTTAAATATATGCTTCACAGGTCAATAATGGAGATGGCAGAGTGAACAGGGATCAAATCTGTCACACACACACACACACACACACACACAGAGATACACACATCATGCACACACACATACACAGAGATACACACTTCATAATCTAGAAAATTTGCTGATTCATTCTTAGAACAGACACGACCAAGAGCTTGTGCGGCTCGGCCATGTGTCTCTCTGCTCCTTACGCCCTTCACTGTGTCTGCAAATTGGCCCTGTTTGTCCCTCTGGAGATGCTGAGGAGGCACCTGGCTTGGGCACTGGGTGGTGGAGGCTGGCTGCTGCTGAGTGGGCTGAGGAGGCTGAGGAGCAGGACTGTTTCCAGACAAGCCACTCACCAGGCACTGGGAGGAAGGAGTCATCTATGCTGTCCTCAGTCAAGGCTCCTGTGGGGTCTGAGCTGTATCGCTGTAAGAAGCTGTCTTCCTTGATGGGACAGGTCTGTAGCTGCAGGAGGAAACAAGAGAAGGTTACTCCAGTCAGGGTGGCTCCAGCTGCAGTGTGTGCAAAAGTCACCTGAGATCTCCTTGAGATGCAGGTTTTGATCAGCCAGGGGGGCAGGCCTGAGAGTCTGCACCCTAGGGGGTGCCCGTGCCACTGGGCCGCAGGCTGGGCTGCAGGGGCGGGCCCCAGGGCTGTGCTGGGTGCTGTCCAGCAGAACTTTCCACAGTGAGGGTGGTGTGCTTCAATACGGTCACCACTAGCCACCTGTGGCTACTGGACACTTCAGATGTGTGAGAAACTGAATTTTATATTTTATTTAACTTATTCACATTTCAGTTGAAGTAGCATCTGTGTCGCCTGGAAGGTGGCTCAAACACAGACTATGGATGCAACCCCTGGAGGTCCTGATTTGGTCAATCTGGGGCAGTGGCCTGAAAAATGGCATTTCTAACAAGCTGCCAGGAGATGCTACTGCTGGTCCGGAAGCCATGCTCCGAATCGCACTGTGAGGCATGGCAGCTGTGCAGGGAAAAACCCACCCAGGAAGGAAACTCAAGATTATCTGGGTTAAGATGATTTAGGTTAAGGCATTTTGTATAATAGAGCCGTAGTGCAGAGCTGTAAATTCTGGCTTGGGTGTTCATACATACCCCGTTTCTATCAATGCAAGCCACAGTGGAATTGTTGCTGTTTGCACTCTGAAAAACACAACATAAAACAGAGAAGTTGCTCATGGAATGCTTGTACCGTATCTCACCCACTTTTCCTGAATGCAGGAGGTGCGCCTCACGGAGGGTATATCGCAAAGTTGTTTAATTTTTCTCTTAATTGTTAGTTTTAGAACAACTAGGTTTACTTTTGAATTCTGTTCCATAGCGGACCTAAAAGGCTTAGAATCAAGTTGTTGCAATGCAATAAAATAATTAATACACTTAATTCATTTTCATTTTGATTTCACCATTTGGTTAAAATTGACTTCATCTCCATGCAAGTTTCACTAGATGGTTTCTATTTTCCCTAAAATTCAATTTTTTCAGGCTGGGTGCGGTGGCTCATGCCTGTAATCCCAGCACTTTGGGAGGCTGAGGCAGGTGGATCAAGAGGTCAAGAGATTGAGACCATCCTGGAGAACATGGTAAAGCATGTCTCTACTAAAAATATAAAAATTAGCTGGACGTGGTGGCGCACGCCTGTAGTCCCAGCTACTTGGGAGGCTGAGGCAGGAGAATTGCTTAAACTCGGGAGGTGGAGGTTGTAGTGAGCCGAGATCGCACCACTGCACTCCAGCCTGGCGACAGAGCGAGACTCTGTCTCAAACAAACAAAAAACGGTCAATTTGTTCAAATGAGTAGACAAAGCGAGAGGGGGAGGAGGGGTTTCATACGAGAGAGCTGAGGAGGGGAGTCCGCGACGTGGAGGGACTGCTGAAGAAGCCCTGCTGTGGGATGAGGTACTCGTCCGCATCCACCACGTCGTCCATGTCTTCTTCATCCATCAGGGCGCGGTAGAAGTTGGAGTCTGTAGGGCTTGGCAAATGCATCCGTTCATCCCCCTGGTGCAGAGAGTTTGAGGCTATTAGAATGGCCCATGGAGATGCTATTCCACTTCTTGGCTATAGGAGCAGGGGTCTCTTGCCAGCCGGTGGCTATGTGTTTGCCAATTTTGTTATAATGAAATCCCCCTTGGTTCTCTGAATTACGGCTCCCTCCCCTCATGGGATGTGGGTGTCTTAAAATAAAGCATCAACCATCTTTTGATGCTTGTAAGACCCCACATGAGATGCAAATAGCTTCTGAGGGAACAGAAAGGGAAGAAGCGACAGCATTCGAGTGGGTACCTTGCAGTGAGGTGCTAGGCAGTATATTTTGCAACGTTTTTTATTGAATCTTTGAGACAATCATGGGAGCTTGGTTTTGGCGTTCCCATGTTATGGAAGGAGATAGGTGGATTGGCTGCCTGGGTGATGGGGTGAAGTGGAGAGTCAGGGGTGTGAAGCCAGGTCCGCTTGGCACCAAAGCGCAGTAGACCATGCTTGTCTGTTAGCCCCAGCTGAGGCTCTGGCTGGCTGGATGGTGAGGATGAGCATGGGAGGAGAGTTCAGATGGGGAGTGGGAGATGGAGCTGCGTGGGCACCACCCATGGACCCTGCTTAGTTCACAATGCGGCCTGCGCCTTGACTAAGGGTTGCTTTAATGGACTGGAGGGTTTATTAACATGACTGGGGACACAGGGAGGCCAGTTGGCACAGGACAGAGCAGTGACATTGGATGCTCATTACAGGGACTCTTCCCAATGGAAGGACAGACCGAGGTTTGTACCTGAATGACAAGGTAGCGCTGGGGGTCTCGGGCCATTTTGGAGAATTCAATGATCAACTCACGGAACTTTGGGCGACTGTCTGCGTCTATCATCCAGCCTGGGGAAGGAATGAGAAGAAACAGTGCAATTAGAATGCTGGAAGCAATGATAAATACGGCATTGCTTAAAGAAGGCATGGGTGATGCAACACTTCCATCAGAGGAGTGATGAAAGGCCCAAGTGTTTGCAGTAGACTTTTCTGTCTTGGCCAAGTAGTACTGGTTGCTGTTTAAAGAGCATGGTAGCATCGAAGATTTGAATTAGACTAACAATAACGCCCTGGAGCTTTTCTCTGCCCACTCTTCCTGGGGTCAGCTTCCTGTGCCGTAGCCTGACGGGATGCAGCAGCGTGGGTCTGTGCAATTTGCTGACTGCAGGGTGCCCTCGCTCACACCCACCCTCAGCATTCCTTCTGGCAGGAAACCAGACGCAGTGTAGAAAAACAGGCTTTAAAGAATTTGGGGTTGGGATGGGCCTGTGCCCCAGCACCTCCAGTACAGCACATACCCAGCGGGCACGCATGCAAGTGAGAGGGCTGGTTGTGCAGGCAACTTCCACCGGAGGACACACTGTGAAGCGTGCTGCTGCATGTGACTACACAGCAAGCTAAATCCAGATTAAACAAGCCGGGGGTACAGCTACTGCCTGGAAATCCTCATGCCTCTTGAGGGTTCACATTTATTTTCCATCCGCAGGATGTCAAGCTATTTTAGGCCAGACTGCTATGTGACCTTAGACAAATCACGTGGCGTCTCTGGATCACAGCTTCCTCAGCCCAAACCAAGACAGTTAAAAAAGATTAACTCTGTGGTCTAGAGTTCAGAAAGGCATTAATATTTACATTCCCTTGGCTCCGTCCTATTCCTTATACAACTTTCTTTTGTAAATGCTTATCATATGTAACGCCACCTTCGGAGCCTACTGCACTTGTGAATCTGGTAGAATAACAGCATCAGTCAAATGACACACTCTTATCTGGACGAAATGTTTAAATGCCGCACTGCAGAGGACTTCACATAGATCTACTGGTTTGGAAGGTTTAAGTCAAAGCAGAAATATTGATTCTATTAGTCTCATGTTGTTAGTCACTATCAAGCATTTAAAAACAGTCTCTCTGGTAACAGGCCTCAAAACACAGGGCAACTCGGTATTTCATTGAGTAACTCAGAGAACAGAATATTTTGGTGTAATGGCTTGTGGAAGGCTTTAGTTTTATTTATCTGCCTGCAAACATGGGCAGATGTCAGGTCACACTGCCCAATGAGTCAGGAAGTGCCTTTTAGAAGAATGCTTGAAGGGTTATTTACAGATGTTCCTGGATTTGTGTGCCTGCCTTAAGTAATGTGATGACATTTCTCCAGGGATGCAAAGGCCTCAGCGGTTTGGCTAAGAGCAGTCATCAAGGCCCAGCGAGGCAGTGGGGACCGTCCCACCCACAGGTCACTCACATTTGACCATGATCATGTACACATCGATGGTGCATATGGGTGGCTGGGGGAGGCGCTCTCCTTTCTCCAGGATGGAGGAGATCTCACTGGCAGGGATTCCATCATATGGCTTGGATCCAAAGGTCATCAACTCCCAAACGGTCACCCCTGAGAGGATGAAGCCAGAAAAGAAGGCAGTGACATCATAAATGAACAACCACAATGCCTTGCTTAAGTCATCAGTACTGGTTACCGTGCTTTGATGTTTAGAAACCTACATTTCTGCAGTCTTGGGCAATCTGCTTCAGCACTGGAAGCCTCAATTTACCTCTCTATGAAGTGGGATAATGATAGTATCTGTTTCACAGGATGGCTGTGAAGACCCAAGAGGATAATACAACTGAAATGCTTAGCACAATGCCCAACAAATAGTAAGTGACTGATAAATGGTAAACGTTGGTAATAAAAATAAAGACAACGGTAACTCTACTAGCCTAAGTGCTATCATGCTCCAGGTACAGTTCCCTCAGGGGAGGTGATGGAGGGTATATACTCCGCCACCTGCGCTGTATCTGCAGAAGGAGGAAGATGCAGATTCTGAACAACGTTTTAAACTTTGCACATTTTCAGATCATAAAAAAAACTGGAAATGAAAAAGCTTATGTTCCTTTTGATAAAAATAAAAACCTCAGGAAGAAACTGAATCCCTGAACAGACCAATAACGAGCTCTGAAATTGAATCACTAATATTCCACCAACCAAAACAAAGCCCAAGACTGGATGGATTCGCAGCCGAATTCTACAAGATGTACATAAATGAGTGGTACCATTCCTACTGAAACTATTCCAAAAAAAATTGAGGAGGAGGGACTCCTCCCTAACTCGTCCCATGAGGCCAACATTATCCTGATACCAAACTTGTCAGAGATACAACAAGAAAACAAAAACTTCAGGTCAATGTCTCTGATGAATATAGATGTAAAAATCCTCAGCAAAATACTGGCAAATCAAATCCAGCAGCACATCAAAAGCTTATCAACCAAGATTAAGTTGGCTTTATCCCCAGGATGCAAGGGTGTTTCAACATATGCAAATTAATAAATGTGATTCACCACATAAACAGAACTAAAGACAAAAGCCACATGATCACCTCAATAGATGCAGGAAAGGCTCTCAATAAAATTCAGCACCCTTTCATGTTAAAAACTCTCTATAAACTAGGTACTGAAGGAACAAACCTCAACACAAGAACCATCTATGACAAACCCACAGCCGACATCATACTGAATGGGCAAATGCTGGAAGCATTCCGCTTGAAAACTGACACAAGGATGCCCTCTCTCAGCACTCCTATTTAACATAGTATTGGAAGTCCTGGCCAGATAAATCAGGTAAGAGAAAGAAGTAATAGACATCCAAATAGAAAGAGAGGAAAACAAGCTATCCCTGTTTGCAGATGACATGATCCTATATCTAGAAAACCCCACAGTCTTGGCCCCAAAACCCCCTGAGCTGATAAACAACTTCAGCAAAGTTTCAGTTGTGCAAAATCAATGTACAGAAATCATTAGTGTTCCAATATGTCAACAACAGTCAAGCTGAGAACCAAATCAGGAATCCAATTCAATTCACAATTGCCACAAAAAGAATAAAATACCTAGGAATACAGTCAACCAGGGAGGTAAAAGATCTCTACAATGAGAACTACAAAACACTGCTCAAGGAAGTAAGAGATGACACAAACAAACAGAAAAACAGTCGATGCTTATGGATAGAAATAATCAAGATCGTTAAAATGGCTATACTGCCCAAAGTAATTTATAGATTCAATGCTATTCTTATAAAACTACCAATGAGATTCTTCGCAGGACTAGGAAATACAATTTAAAAATTTGTATGGAACCTAGAAAAAGCCTGAATTGCCAAGGCAATCCTAAGCAAAAAGAACAAGGCTGGAGGCATTATGCTACCTGACTTTAAACTACAAGGATATAGTAACCAAAGCAGCATGGTACTGGTACAAAAAGAGACATACAGACTAATGAAACAGAATACAGAGCCCAGAAATAAGACAGCACACCTGCAACCATGTGATCATTGACAAAGCTGACAAAAACAAGCAACGGGGAAAGGGTTCCCAATTCAATAAATGACGACTAGCTAGCCATGCAGAGGACTGAAATTGGATCGTGTTTTTACACCATATACGAAAATCAACTCAACATGGATTAAAGACTTAAATGTAAAACCCCAAACTATAAAAACCCTGGAAGACAACCTAGGCGATACCATTCTGGATATAGTAATGGGCTAAGATTTCATGATGAAGATACCACAAGCAATTGCAGCAAAAGCAGAAATTGACAAATGGGATCCAACTAAGCTGAAGATCTTCTGCACAGCAAAAGAAACTCTCATCGGAGTGAATGACAACCTACAGAATGAGAGAACATTTTTGCAGACTATGCATTTGACATGGGTCTAATAACCAGCTTCTATAAGGAACTTAAGCAAATTTACAAGAAAAAAAATCAAACAATCCCATTAAAAGTGGGCAAAGGACATGAGCAGACGCTTTTCAGAAGAAGACATACATGCAGCCAACAAGTATATACTAAAAAGCTCAACATCACTGATCAATAAAGAAATACAAATCAAAACCACAATGAGATACCATCTCATACCAGTCAGACGGCTACTATTGCAGAGTACAAAAAACCCAACAGATGCTGGTAAGGTTGTGGAGAAAAAGGAATGCTTTTACACTGTTGGTGGGAGTGTAAATTGGTTCAACTGTTGTGGAAAAGAGTGTGGCAATTCCTCAATGAGCTAAAAAACAGAACTACCATCTGACCCAGCAATCTCATTATTCAAAGGAATATAAATCATTCTACCATAAAGACATATGCATGTGTATTTTCCCTGCAGCACTATCTACAATAGCAAAGACATGGAATTAACCTAAATGCCCATCAGTGACAGACTGGATAAAGGAAATACAGTACATACACGCCATGGAACACTATGCAGCCACAAAAGAGAATGAGATCATGTCCTTTGCAAGAACATGGCTGGATCTAGAGGCCATCATCCTTAGCAAACTAGTGCAAGAAAAGAAAATCAAATATGCTTGTTCTCACTTACAAGTGGGAGCTAAGTGACGAGAACACATGGACACACAGAGGTGAACAACACACACTGGGGCCTATGGGAAGGTGGAGGGTCAGAGGAGGGAGAGGAGCAGGAAAAATACCTAATGAGCACTAGGCTTAACCCTGGGGTGGTGAAATCATCTGCACGACAAACCCCTATGACACCGGTTTACCTGTGTAACAAACCTGTACATGCACCCCTGCACCTAAAATAAAAGTTAAAAAAATGACAGGTACTAAAATCTCAAAAATACAAAACCACAATAAAAGAACAGGCATAGAATAAGAACCCGATTTTTCCTGCAAAATCAAACGACCATGAGGGCTAAAAGCAAGTGAGAGCAGTGATAACTTTAGAATCGGTGTTTTCTCAGACAACCCCAAGTTTTCATGGCCCTCCCATCTTGGGTAACGGAGGCCCTTCCCAAACAGAACTACCTGAATGGATGTACAGAATGCGAGCTTGACAGTGGAAGGGAAGCAATGGTTGGGGGACAAGAAAACAGATTCTTGCGTTGTCCCCTGCCCCCATCACATAGTCAGTATGGACTTGTAAAAGAAAGACAGGCTCATTTCCAGATCTCTGCAGTCAGTGGAACTACTATTTAACTAGGTTTTTAAACACCCATGATGAATTCTATCAGGTTTTGCAACAAATGACCAGGGGGAGGAGAGCCTGTGCAGCGGGTGTTGGTTGGACAGCGGACTGAAAGATATTGTGAATTTTCTCTTTTTAGCTCTTTGGTGCAACACACTAGGTCCCCAGTTTATTAAATTGAATAATTTGCCTTGAGTAGAGACTAGGGGGAAAACAGGATATGAGTTTTAGACTTAAAATTCAGGCTCATGTCTGGTAGCTGCAGTGGGCTGCCCAGGCCAGTGATGAGACTCTGCGGTGGCAGCTTCAATGATACTGAAAACACGCGAGGTTCTCAGTGGGATTCTACTTCCTGAGAATGGGTGTGACCACATCAAGGCACCAAGCCACTGGATTTGAGAGGGCTTCCATTTGTGCGTGGAGCGTGGGCCGTGCGCTGGCACTCACGGGCTGTGGCTGGAGCGTGAGGGGAGGGGGAGCGCACGGACGGGAGAGGTGCCAGGGCCACGCTCCCGGCGTCCTATCAGTCACGGCTGGGCACTCAGGTTTTATCTCAACATACCTGGAGAACCAAAGAAAGATGTTGAGCAGAGAAGGAAAAGTCTGGGGCCGAGCGCGGTGGCTCACACCTGTAATCCAAGCACTTTGGAGGCCAAGGAGGGTGGATCACCTGAGGTCGGGAGTTCAAGACCAGCCTGACCAACATGGTGAAACTCTGTCTTTAAAAAAAAAAAAGAAAAGTCTGATAAAGTTAAAAAAAAAAAAAACAACAAAAATACAGATGTGGTCTCTGTCTGGAGCATAGATGGGGGGGAGAGTTGGAAGAGGGGACACAGCAGAAGGCTGTGCCTGGGGAGGGAGGGGCCGGCTGCGTGGAGACAAGAGAAATGGCTGGGGCCGGACCCCGGGGTTCCCTCCTGGAGAGGAGACACATGCTGAAAATGGCTGAAAATAACAATGCATCAGCAGACCTTTATTTCCTTATCTGTTCCATTAATCGAGGCAGCTCAGCCCACAGGTGCACACCAAGCTTGTTATTCATGGACACAGATCTCGGCCTTTGTATCGTAAATCTTACATTTTAACAGAAGAGATAAAGACTCAGGAAATTTAAAAATATGTGTGTATTTGGCAAATCAGAAAGTTAATAATGCTATAGGAAAAAGAAAAATATACTAAATAAAAAAGGATGATATCTTGAATAATTTTGCTTTTGTGGTACTGACTCAATTACTCTTGGCAGTTCCCTTCAACAGTGTTGTCCTCAATATACTTTTCTAGAGAGGTGAGGTGACTCCCCCTCGCTCCTGTCGCTGTAGATGGCTCAGGGTAACTGACTTTCCTCAATAAAGGGGTAGGTTCATGGGTTTCAGCCTTTCAGTAAGCTGCTGGCTGAAATTTAGGGTAAGTGTGGAACACGCCTGGCACAGGGGTCAGAGACCAATGTGTCAGCAACACTTGCTCAACAGGGGAGGTCCTTGAAGGCTCAGGACAGGGCAGGGACCCAGGGCCAGGTGAAAAGAGGGGCCCTGGTGAAGACAGGTGTACAGGCGTGCGCTGGGATTTGGAAGAGGAACAGAACCCCCGGGTCCGGACCAGGTGGTCCTCCCACGGAAGAGGAGCAAGGGCCAGCTCCCTTCCGTCTTTCTCCCCTACACATGTGCTCAGTGTGCTTGTCAAGACAGTCTCTCTGACACACAAGGGCCACTGTCCACATAATGCCACAATGGCCACAGGCAGTTCGTCGTAAGCCTCATTCTCTACTGGAACTATTCCCCACCAAGCTTCTTCCGTCACCTCCCTCTAGTTCACTTCACATTCATGGCAACGGGTCAAGTTTGGTTGGGCGTTGCAGGGAGAGGCGTCAGGGAGAGGCGTTTCCTAAGCTCTCTCCCTCCCCTGCCCCCTCCCTGCCAGACCAGCTCATCGCCCTCTCCAGTGACTTTCAGATGGCAGCTGGACTCTTCCTCTGTCATGCTTTCTCAGTGCAACAGACAGACAGCAACGATTACATTACCATTAGTCATTATCTCGAAAGAAAATACTTGCATGTCAGAGCATATAATGTAAATTAGCCAATAATAAAAGCCAGCTCGGCCTCAGCACAGATTCATTAGCACCAGGATGACGACTCACCGTAACTCCAGACATCACTCTGGTGGGTATAAATTCGGTGTAAAATTGATTCCAATGCCATCCACTTGATAGGCACCTTGGGATGGTGAGAGATAAAGCAATAAGACAACGAATAGTTTCCCTCTGTTGGAAAAAGGTAATTCACTCAGTGACACACACAGGGGACCCAGGTCACCCTGTGGCCCGTCCCCCAGGCCTGGCGCCTCCTCCCCGCAAGAAGGATTTCTGTCTGACGGAGTTCAGGGCTGCTGCGGTAAGTTTCTCAGTACACTCTGGGACCTGGGCTGCTCTGGTGAGCTGGGCGCCCTGGTGGGGCCCAGTGGCCTCACTCCCCCAGGCCTGTGTGTGTTTTCAGGGTCCAGCATCATAGGGTTGGTGGCTGCTAGGAGACAAGCAGCCAGAGTGAAACCTCAGTGGGGCATGGCTGTGGGAGGGCATTTGCAGGCCTGACAGGGGACGTGTATCCCTCAGTGATGTGATGGTTCCTGGGAGAAACCCAAGCCAGAGAAAGGAGAGGACTCCATCGCTGCCTGTCCCAGCCAGGAGCCACAGAGAGTGCTGGAAGCTTGGGCCACGTGGGGGCCTTTCCTGCTCCTGAGGTGTCCTTGACAGCAGTGGGCCACCAAGGCAGCTGTGACCTTTTCCAGTGGTGCTTTTGAAGGGGGTTTATGTCCTCCAGGGAGAGGCTGAAACCTAACCTTTGCTAATGATCACCTGGGGATAAAATCCTCACTCAGTGTCCCAGCAAGCCCGGTTCCCAAAGCAGCTCTGTCTAACACTGCCAGGAGACCCCGGCTGGCCCAGCTGCCAGCAGCAGCTGCTGTGAGCTCACCCAGAACGATTGGAGAGTGTCCTCCCCTGCGTGAGTTAGAAATACAGCTAGTGGGTAGGGAGCCTGGTCCCTGGTGTCAGGAAAATGCCTGCCGATCTACAAGCCAGCTCCTTACTTTGCCTCCTTCTGCATGATATTCTTTCTCTTCTGCCCCCAGCAGCTTGGCCAGCCCAAAATCTGTGATCTTGACATGCTGCGGCGTCTTCACCAGCACGTTCCTGGCTGCCAGGTCGCGGTGCACCAAGCGCCGGTCCTCCAGGTAGTTCATGCCCTGAAACACAGGAGACCCTGCTGTGAGAAGCAGATCGTCATGGGAGAAGCTCTGCATCTGGGTTCAGGGTCATGTGCACGCCAGGCTCTGAGCCTTTCCATGTGGAGGACTCACGGCTGGTGAATGCTAGTAACTACCGATGGAAAGAACGGAAATGCAGATGAAAGGTGGTGTAACCTGCTACTGACCATTAACTTCTCTCCATCCAGTTCCTTGAGTTTTAAGCCCAGAGGTGCTCGTAGAAGAGGACAGAGGAGAGCAGGAGCCCTGCTGTGCGGCTGACACCTGGGCTTGAACTTGCCCTCAACTTGCCAGGTTGACCTTCCTGCACATGGTTTATCTGCAAAGCGGGGGTCGGCGGGGGGAGTGGTGGGTGGTTGCAGGGACCATGCCCTCCTCACCAAGCTGGGGCAAAGCAATGTCTATCAGGGTTTTTAAGCTACACTCTCATTGTGCTTTCTTGGACTCTCTGACATGGTTCCCTGCTTATGAAGATTTTTGCCCTATTTTACTTTTCACTGGTTTATTATGATTATTACTGAAACCACATGGATACTGAATATGCTTTTAGAAGACACCACTCCCCCCACCTCCCTGGCTGCTTCCACAATCCCGCTGCAATTGGAAAAGAACATGTGAGAAGCAGCCAGCACAGCGCCCAACAGAGTGAATTCCTAGAAATGCTACCCTGACCCTCGCTGACCCTGACCCACGGCCTCTGGTGTCCTTGTCACACGCACCTGGCTCCCTGCTGGCCGCTGGGGTCACTGCTGATCCCTGCTCCTCCTTGCTTGACGGATGCCTGCCTCGCTGAGCCCAGCTGCCCCAGGCTTTGGCATGAGCATGGCAGCCCGCATCTCTCTGCAAGGGCCAGGCTGGCAGGTGGGAGAGGCTGGGAGGGGTCAAGTTCTGCAGACCTCTTACATTGTTTCCCCCACAATCTCTCCCCTCTCCAGCCAGAGGGTGGGCCGTTTTTCCAGTTCCCTTTACGGCTGACACACACTTCTAGCACAGAGTGGGCACCCCAGAAAGGCTTGCTGCGGTGCGGCAAACAGAAACAAACAGGCGTCCACAGCCTGCTCCGCGCCACTGCTCTGCTCCCGTATGGAGGGGTCCCACTGCAGTGCGGCTGCCGGGAAGAGCTGTAGATGTGGATGGAATCTTAAATTTTCCAGCAAATTGTTTGCTTTTTTTTTTGCCTGAATATTATGTGAAAATGATTCGTTGATTTGGCATGTCGGAGTAAAATTAAATTTTTTTCTTTCTCAGGCAAAATCAGTCATCATAAGAACGTAGGGTCTCACAAAGATGCTATGCAGAATGAGCCTGGGCACCATTTATGAGGTCCTTGATGTTTTTCTCGCTTGGAAAAGAGACGCTTGCCTGCCACCCACGGCTTGTGATGGCACGGACTGTCCCCCTCCCCGCATTGCCGAGAGAGCTCCTATGGGTTCCAGTGCTGCTGGACGCTAGTGCTTCCCTGCCTACTTAAGAGGAAATGAGCAGGCTCTTCTCTGGAACAACGCTTCCAAATTAGGAAGTATTATGTCAGCATGGTGGGTGGAAGGGAGAGGGATGGGCAGAAGCCGAGGAAGCGCTTCCTAACAGGGGACTGGCCCGGACTCCCTGCCACTCTGGCAGCCTGGGTCTCCTTCAGAGGCCAGGTCCCTGCCACCACGTCTGCCTCCTCTGGGTCCTGGGATGCTGACTTGTGTCTGCCTGGTTCTCTGTCTCTTACAGAGCAAGGCCTCTGCTTACTAAATATCATGAAGTCCTGCCCATTCGAAAGGGAGGCTTAGGCTCAGGCTCTTGCCAGGTTCCACCCAGTGCCTTCCTTCCGGGCTGTGTGGACTCTCTGGCTGTCTCCTCTTCTCTCTTCTCTGTCCCGCGATTTCTCACTCACCCTTGCTTTCTCCTTTCCTTCTACCCTGCATCTCGTGTTCGTTCTTCACATTAGCTGAAGGCTTCCCCTGTGGTAGCTGTGAGCAGGAGTGGCACAGGCCTACAGTAAAGAGCCCTACACAGGGGACCGGGAGCCTCTCCCTTTCTCCCTCCCTATTTAAAATGTGTGGTTTCCACATGTTCTTTAAGCCCACAGGAGGCCTTCAGGGTGCACTCGCAGCTTTGTTTCACCACCATCACTAACTTCCATTCTGCCTCTTTAAATGCTTAGCGGAGATTCCGGTACGCTGGGCACATTTTTAAAGTGGCCTGTTGAATAATGAACAACTGAATGAATGAATGAATGAATGGCGATAGCAGCTGACGGTGCTGAGCACTGGCGATGTGCCAGTCATTTCAAACACATCTGTGCAGACGCCTCTTCTGTCCCAGTCCCCACACGAACACCTTATCAGATGACCCGGGGTCCAGAGGCTGAAGCATGTGGCTGCACAGACCAAATCCCTTGAGCCCAAGACCACTACTGGGACAGTGGCCTTAATTCCCCTGCTGGGAAACATGCCTGTCAAGCCAGAGGCTGCTTGGGGTTCTATCTATCTATCTATCTATCTATCTATATCGATATCGATATCATCTATCATTCTCTATTCTATGTATCATCTATCTACCTATCTCCATTCATCTATGTATATTCTATGTATCATCTATGTATCTATATCTATCATCTATGTATCCGTATCATCTATCTATACCTATTCTTTGTATGTATTATCTATCTGTGTCTATCATCTATCTATCTGTATTATCTAATCTTTTATCTATCTATCATCTATCTGTATTAGCTATCTAATCTTTTATCTATCTAATCTATCATCTATCTATCTGTATTATCTATCTATCTAATGTATCATCTATCTATCTATCTATCTATCTATCTATCTATCTATCATCTGTCGTATCACCTATCTATCTAATCTATCTATCTAATCTATCATCTATCTTTATCATCTATCTATCTATCTATCTATCTATCATCTATCTATCTGTCCGTCCGTCAGTCTGCCTATAATATGAAAGAAAGCAGGAGACAGCGTGAGCACGCACCTTGGCCCGTGCCTCTGAGGAAGTCCACAGCACTCTGGCAATCTAACAAATCCACCTGAGCTGCAGCCCAGCCCTCCCCCGCTCCTCCGGACGCGGCTTTAAAGACCTGAGCCATTTCCACAGTGTCTGTTTCCTCAGAACACCGGTCTTCAACAAAGGCATGGGTAAGGGCGGAGAGAGCACGGGACAGTTCTGGAACTCAGGTAATCAGCTGGAGGGTCTTAGATCGGAGATAACGTTGGGACAGAGAGGTGAGCCCATGTGAACTTAGGTGAGACTCGACGCACGCGTCTCTGTCCCACTGCTGGGACCTTTAAAAGGCCAACTCTGTGCCTTTCAAGCGGAGTCATGCTTTAACCAGTCCTCAAAGATAAGAGCCGCGACACGGCCTGTGAGGTCCCAGGGTCCAAGCAGAGACACCGCAGGAAGCAAAATCAGCAAAGCCTCAGGGGGCTTCTCGGGAAACTCAGTTCCGGCTTCTTCTCCGAGACCTTCACTTTAATTGAATTTAACATATTTGTCTTGCGTTAATTACTACAGGAAAGCTGGGATGAACTTTGAAATACAGCACTGAGGGTAAAATGGGATTTGAAAAGCCAGAAGGGAACTTCCACTTACAAAAAAGAAGGATTTTTTTCTGGCAGTTACCCACAGAGTGAGGGGCAGGGGCTGTGCCTGACCTTGAAGGGCTGGGTGGTAAAGTCTTGGGAGGAGTTCACAGTGAGAGGCGGGAGTTGGATCACCTGTGTTCTGTTTTGTAAACCTCCTGTGGAAGACCTCGTGGGGCAGTGACCCAGTGAGGAAGAAGCGGCGCAGGAGAGGACGGGAGGCCGCGTGGTTCGGGTGGAATGGAGCTGGTAGTGCAGCATTCCCGTCACCCTGTTTTGCTGTTGCTGTTGTTCAGAAGTATTTACTTAAAGCAAGATCAGAAAGATGCTTAAGGTCCACCATCTTCAAATTAATCCACCTCTACCAGAACTATGCTGAGACCTAGACTACCATCACGCTTCCCCTGGGGACTGGGGCTCATCCCTCACCCCTACTTGGGGCTGGTCCTGACACAGGCAAGGCCAGACACTCCCAGCCACAGCTGGGGAGAAGGTGAGAGGCTCTGCATGGCTTCCTCAGGCCTCAGCCCCCAGGATCCCTCTGTATAAATGATGGTGGTCTCCTCTTAACTCTTCAGCCCTTGGGGTGCAGGTGGGGAGGACAGCCCCACTCCAGGGACCCACCGACAGCTGGTAGAGGTAAGGGATGGGGTCCAGGGGGCTCTGAAGCTACAGGTCTGATGGAGTTTTTAAGGAGTGGTCGCCAGGAGAAGCTACCACTGCTGTCCCTGGACTTCAATTCTCAGAGCATCCGAGGTTTTCAGCTCCCCCAAAATGGAAGAGTTTGCTGCTCAGGCCACCTTGCTCCCTTCCCAGGTGGGTATAGAGTAAGTGCTGGACCTCAGAAGAGGGAGGAAAGTGTCAGAATGTCCTATTCCCAGACAGAAGCAGTGCAGCATGGGTGCCCTGCCGTGCAGGGAGGGAGGGCTGCTGGGACCCCTGTCCTGGGAACCATGCTCTGAGCCTGCAGAGCATCCCTGCAGGCTGAGAGGCTGCACCATAGAACCAGGTCACCTGGATCACATCCTGAGACCTTGCAAGTGATGTAAATGCTGCATGCCTCTGTTTCCCCATATGCAGAATGAGTTAATAGGAGAGTGGAATGAGTTCATGCAGAGACAGCACTTACTTAGATACCACCCACGGAGAGTCCCGTGTAGGTGCTCGTGATTGTCACCATTTTCTCCAAATGCCAAATCTATCCTGTCTTCTCCAACCCTTTTGCAGCGACCTTGAATTTGGCCACTGTCTTGCCTTTGTGATGAGGCTCCAGGTGTGCCTTGTCCCCTATAAGAGATACTGGGGGCCAGGCGTGGTGGCTCATGCCTGTCATCCTAGCAGTTTGGGAGGCCGAGGTGGGTGGATCACCTGAGATCAGGAGTTCAA